CCTCATTCTTCCAACCTTATAGTAACTACTCTGGCCATCGCAAGGTACGCCTCGCGGATGGCTCTCCATCTTTCATTGCTGGGAAGGGTCACATATCAGTTACTCCTTCATTAACTTTGTCAGGTACACTTCATGATCCACAGTTGACTACAAATTTTATTTATGTTAGAAGCATTACTAAACAATTAAATTGTATTGTAACGTTCTTTCCCTCTCATTGTATTTTTCAGGATCTGGTGTCAAAGCGGACGATTGGCAGTGGGCGTGAAGTGGACGGTCTATACCTATTAGATGATCTTTTGCACCTCAAGCACATTCAGTTTTATTTTCTAATTATGTTTCATCTAATAAAGCCCAGCTTATGCATTGGCACATGCGTTTAGGACATATTTATTTCGGTTATTTAAAACATTTATTTCCTTCCTTATTTTGTAACGTGGCAGTCTCAGATTTATCCCGTGAGACGTGTCACTTGGCTAAACATGTTCATTCCAATTATTCTGCTAGTAGTAATAAATATGCTTTAATACCTTTTGATCTTGTTCATTCAGATGTGTGGGGGTCCTTGCCCAGTTACTTCTAATCTTGGATTTCGATATTTCGTGTTGTTCATTGATGATCATAGCCGTGTTACATGAGTTTATCTAATGAAAACCAAAAATGAGGTGTACACCATTTTTAAAAAATTTATGGCAATGGTTTAGACTCAATATGGTTGTACCATTAAAAAAATTAGATCTGACCAGGGTACGGAGTACACTTATGGGGAGGTACAGCAGCTATGTATAGAATTTGGGATTGAGCATTAGATGTCTAATGTTAAAACCCCTCAACAGAATGGCCGTTCTAAGAGAAAGAACCGCCACATTCTTGACTTAGCCAAAGCAATTTGCATTGGCATGAATGTTCCCCGGTCATTTTGGGGAGACGCAGTTCTTACAACCGTTTACATCATTAATATGACTCCTAGGTTCTTAACTTTGCAGCCCCACTCTCAATCTTACAACCCAATTCATCTCTTTTTTTATTCCTCCATGAGTCTTCGGGTGTGTGTGCTTCGTTCAGCAGTTGGGACAGACTCTTACAAAGTTTGACCCCAAGGCTTTGATGTGTGTTTTTGGGCCATTGTCACTCTCAAAAAGGTTATAGGTGTTACCATCCTCCCAATCATCTGCGGTTTATATCCATGGATGTTTCTTTCTTTGAGCATACACCATACTATAGTGGTCCAATTGGTTCTCAAAGTGAATGATTCCCATTAAATATAATTGATGATCACCTTCTTCCGTCTTCAACTCTTCAACCTTTACCTGTTTCGTCTTCTATGATTTCTCCTCGTGATACCCCTTCAGCAGGGAGAATTGTTCCTTTTCCACAGGTTTATAGTCGAAAACAACAAGTACAAGCTTCTACTCCCACGATCGACTGCCATGTTCCTTCAGCACCAACTCCGCCTTCTCAAGCTATTGTTTCGCTTGATGATCACCCCATTGCTCTTTGAAAGGGTAAACGTTCTTATACATACCCTATTTCTAATTTTGTTTTTGATTGTGCTCTCTCACCCTCCTATCGGAGTTTTCTTGTTTCTGTTGCCTCGGTTCCTCTTCCTTCTAGTGTTGCAGATGCACTAGCACAACCTCAATGGCGTGATGCTATGATAGAAGAACTACAAGCACTGGAGAAAAATCAGACTTGGGACATTGTTCCGCTTCCTATTGGATGAAAGGCTGTGTTGTCGTTGGGTGTTTACAATTAAGCATAATCCAAATGGGTCAATTGCCCGGTTGGTTGCCAAGGGTTATTGTAACGACCCACTCCACCACATGGTATGATATTGTCCGCTTTGGGCCTGAGCACGCACGGTTTTGCTTTTGGGCTTTACCCCAAAAGGCCTCATACCAATTGGAGTTACACACCTACATATTTGCACTTTACCTTTCCATTTCCCAAGCGATGTGGGATTGTGCACCCGTAGCTCACCAGTGTGGTAGCCTGCCAATGTCTCGCACCCGCCCACGGCACACCCGCCCACAAGGTCATCACAATGCCTTTTGGGATAAAGCCCAAGAGTAAAACCGTGAAGGCTCACGCCAAAACAGACAATATCATACCATGTGGTGGAGTGGGTCGTTGCAAATGGTATCAGAGCCTGATCCAGCCGGAAGTATGCCGACGGGGACGTCGGACCTCCAAGGGGGGTGGATTGTGATGACCCTGTGGGCGGGTGTGCCGTGGGCGGGTGCGAGACACTAACAGACTACCACACTGGCAAGCTACGGGTGCACAATCCCACATCACCTAGGAAAGGGAAAGGTGAAGTGCTTATATGTAGGTGTGTTACTCTAATTGGTATAAGGCCTTTTGGGGTAAAGCCCAAGAGTAAAACCGTGCGGGCTCAGGCCCAAAGCGGACAATATCATACCATGTAGTGGAGTGGGTCATTACAGTTATGCTCAGACTTATGGCATAGATTATAAGGAGACTTTTGCCCTTGTTGCCAAGATGAATTACCATCCATGTATTATTTTCCGTTGTTGCGATTCGATCTTGGCATCTATTTCAGTTAGATGTCAAGAATGCCTTTCTCAATGGTGATTTGCAGGAGAAGGTGTACATGGTTCCCCCTCCGGGCTTTCGTTCTCTTGCTCATTCTGGTATGGTCTGTCGTCTTCGTCGTTCCCTGTACGGCCTCAAGTAGTCTCCTTGAGCTTGGTCTAATCACTTTGGCACTGCCATGCTCAAGTTTGGTTTCCAATAGAGTGCAACCAATCATACCTTGTTCTTACGTCATTCAGGTAGTATGACCAATTTTTCCAGAGGGTGCACATATGGTAGAACTCCACCGTCCATGGTTACTGCCACGGCCACGACTGCAAGTACTAGATGGTTTAGAAGAAGCGACTAATGCCATCTAATCAATGTCAGGTGCAGGAAGTGTAGCAGGAGCCATCGAAGGTGTAACCTAACGTCAACAATCATCCCCATCAAAAATAGCATAAGCCTCGAAAAGAGAGGGTAGAGGTGTCGTATTCAGAATTTAAGCATAAAGGGACTCAAATTTTGGATGAAGTCCCATAAGAAACTGATAAATCTAATGGCGCTTATGTCTAGCCTTAATAATCCTTGAAGCCTCTGCTGAGATATCCCGAAGGGGCTCATAGTGAGCAAGCTCCTCCCAACTTGACTGGAGGAAGGCAAAGTAATCTGCAACTGATAGCTTGAGATCGTCTTGGGTAGCTCGTGAGATATCTCGATGCAACTCATAAATTTGGGTGTCATTGCGAGCATGGACATAAGTCTTACTGAGACCAATCCATAATGTGTGTACAGTTTCATGATACATAAACATATTATAAATACACTGCTACATAGAATTGAATAACCACCCAAGAGTGGTACAATTATCAATGTCCCACAGTGTAAACGTGGGTTCAGTAGGTGCTGGTTTTTTAATAGTGCCCAATAAATATCCAGTTTTACCCCAACTCCCTAAATAAAGTCTCACTGATCTCGACCAAGATGGAAAAAAATTTCCCATTTAATAAAACTGTACTAATCCTTTGGGCTTGGGAACTATGCCCATAGGTTACGTTATCCTTAATCTGAACAGATACCATTTCTCAGATTGTGATGATATAGAATCAAATTGCAGATTGTAAATACTGTTGTCTGCAAGTCACGAGGGCTGGAGAAGTCTTCCAAGCGAGCAGCTCTGTCTGCAATTGTGAAACTCGGCCAGACAATTCATCAACAACATGTAGTGACCCTTGCAGAAGTCGACTAAGTATGAAAAGAGGCTGGATGATTCGTCAACAGCACATAACGACCGAGCCGGTCGTTAGTTTAGAGAGAGACCCCTCTACCGCACGAAGCCATGGAGGGAAGAAGAAATACCCCCGAGGGGTTTGCATGGGTGTGGTCTAGTTGTTGGTGACTGAAAAAATTAAAGAACACAGAAAAGGCGAGGATGAACCAGGAGAAGATGAAGTAGAGCTCAAGCAGTGGAGTGGAGTGGAGTGGAGTGTGTGTCGTGCTCTTACCCCTAATTTATATTACATAAGTGGAAAGTAAATCAAATCACTAATCCTATGCCTCTAATAGGCATATGAAAATAATATCATATAAAATCAAATTAAGATCAGATCAAATCCAATCCCTAAAGATACTCCCAATACAGATCAAATCCAATCCCTAAAGATACTCCCAATACAGATCAAATCCCTATATTTTCTCCCTATAGTTTCAATGTGCAATATTAAAATTTCTGCAATGAGCCTTTTCCTTTCTTTTTACTTTTTATGTTTTCAGTTCTTGGGATAGGGCGAGGTAGAAAGACAATTGGCTCAAAAAATTATTTTGCACACGACTCATGATACAACAAAAGGAATGTTTCATGTAAGTTGAGCACAATGAAAAAATATCATTTAAGATGTTTTTGGTCACTTACAACAAAGACAAGCAACTGCTTAAGAAACGAGAGATTTATAGTTCAAGTAGATGGATTATTAGCACAAGCAATCCATTTCAATAAACCTAAGTAGATACCTTTCAACTCTAGTTTCATAAGTAATCCATCTCAACCACAACCATAAACCTAGGCAGATAGGAAATGATGAAGAAAACAATAAACCAAAGTAGATACCCAACTTAAAAACAATTTGGAAAGGCCTTGGGCAATGGCGAAGAGAAATCTTATTAAGTAAAATTTTCAGACAAAAAGAAGAAAGAGTGGAAGGAAACTAGGATCTAATTGCAAGCCTAATATTGTTAATACCCATTAGGAGCTGCCACACCATTTTAACAATGAAAGCATATAAGCATTATAAATACTCACTTCACTAGGTGAAAAGCATAATTGTATGAGAAGAAAAGGCTAATATAAGTGTGTCACTTTTTATCCAAACAGAGCACCATTAAACAGTTTCTAGAAATCAAGATGTTCTAAACTATATTCCAAAATTAAAATGATAAGTTCATAGAACAGATCACAAACACATTACCAAATGGAAGCATGTAATTTCTATGCCTTCGGTTGGCAAGCCATCTACATCTTGACCATCATCTGCAAAATTGTGAACACGCAGTGTGGACGAAACTTGAAATATGTCTCAAAAGATACTATCCCAGTAAATAATTACAATAATACAAAAAAAAATTTAAAAAAAACCCTTTTCATTGAGAAGTAAAATCAGATTTTAAAGCCCACAATGAGATGAAGAGCATATAAACAACTTTTTCAAGTTGAATTAGAGTCAACATACCATCATCATCCTTGCCTTTGCCCCATATGGATGGCGTCGGCCACATGAATTCTCTTTTTTCATTCTTACCTATTATATACCATGTCTCCTCAAATTAATGTTTTAAATTCATGTTTAATTACTTCATTCCATGTATGTTTTGGTCATCCTCTTTGTTGCTTACCTTCTAGGCAAACAACTTTTCCTCTTCTAATGGGTGCATCTTCAAATCTACGTTGTACATGACTATACCACCTAAGTCTACTTTTTCAAATTTTATCAGAAGTAGTGGCTATTCCTAGTTTTTCCCTGACTCGTTCATTACCAATCCTCTCACTCCTATCATCTCCATCATATTATCCTCATTTCCGCTACATGAGTGTGTTATTTTTGTTTCTTTTTCATTGCATAGCACACTATTCCATAAAATATAACTAGCTTAATTACCCGTTCCATAGAATTTTCCTTTTATTTATTTGATATTCGTTTGTAACAAAGAATACAACTAGTTTGCCTCCGTTTTGTCCCCCCTTACTCCAATCCTGCTTCCTACATCACCATCTATTTTTCCATCTATTTGTAAAATTGACCCTAAATAACAAAAGTAGTTATTTTGAATTATTCTTTGGTCTTGAATTCTAATATGGGTAAAATGCTAAAAAAAAAAAAAAAAAAAACCTCTAACTTTTATTTTTACAAATAACCCCCCTAAAGTACTAAAAAAAGCTGACCATAACGGAATGGATGGAATAGTATCATGTGCATAGCACATGAGATTTTAAGCTGTAAAAACTCTATAATACCCTTTCGGGTAAACTGCAAATAATAATAATAATAATAATAAAATCCCTCAACTTTCATGATTTCGTGATTACCCTAATGTAGAATGGATAGAAGTTTGTTGGTATGGTTAGCTTTGGTTGCAACTGGAGCGTAGAAACAATTAAGAAGAGACGTAGATAACAAAATTATAATAGAATAGATAGAAACAGAGTAGAGATAGATGCAAGAGATAGAGAACAGAATTGATGGAGAACAGATAGAAACAGAGGCGAGATAGAGAAGAAAAGAGATGTGAGAAAGACTAGAGAAGGAGAGGGAGGAGAAGAGAGAAGAATTTAGGGGAGGAAAACTGAACTCAAATTCAATATTCAAACTCAATCCAAAAACTGACCATATGATTTACATATATGCCTATTTATAGGCACCAAAAGCTTCCTAGTTCCTAGAAAAGCTTCCTCCATAACCTTCTTAACAAAAGCTTCCCTCAAAAGTTTCCTTTATAACTAAAGAAACACAAAATATCTAGGGAAACTTGATAGCATAGAAAGTACAAAATATGACTGTCAAGTACACAAAACAGCATTGCAAAAACATCACTGAAGCTGCCATTGCATCATAATCAGATTGCAGCCGTTAGGTTAGCTGCCTATGCCTGGTTTGTATGCCAGCCTATTGTCATGGGCCTGGTGCTTTGTTGTCCGACCCAAAAGCTTAACCTATTAGGTGGTGCTAACCCCCAACCTTATATGCCCAAGACCCTCCCCATCCAGATCCGAAGTGGGACAAGAATCCATAACATTCTCCCCCATCCAAACCCGCAACGCCCTCGTTGCAGTTGGCCCACCCTGCCTACCCGTCCACCCTAACGGCGAGGGATCCGGTACCCAATCCGGATACCTCCATGTGTGTGGGCACTTGGCGTGACACCGGATCAAGTATTGGGCCTGCTCTGATAGCATTTTTCACGGGCCGGGTGCTTCACGAGCCTACCCAAAAGCTTAAGCTATTAAGTGGTTCTAACACCCAACCTTATATGCCCAAGACCCTCCCCATCCAAATCCAATGTGGGACAAGAATCCATCACACTATGCTCTACATCATACTCCCCTCAACTTTCACTTTTGCACATAACCCCCTTAAAATATTACAAAATGCTACAACACCTCTTGAAAGTGGAGGGATTTTTCTTTTTTTTTTTTTTTTTTTTTTTTTTTTTTTTTTGCAGTTTACCTATTTTTTATTTCTTCAGGGGTAAAATGGTAAATCAGACACTATTTTGGGTAAATTGCAACTTTTAGATAGTTGAGGGGTTAGTTGCATCACCAGGGGGTATTTGAAAATCCTTGACAGTTGAGGGGGGTTATTCACAGTTTACCCTTCTAATACTTATATTATCATTTTCTGCTACTTTATCAAATTTACATTTCATGTGAACTGTTTTGGTTTTACCATTTTTTATGCCTTTTGCTCTTGAACTCTCTCTCCCTGTTACAGAGAAGAGGTCCCCAATTTAAGAGACAATTTGAGAGACTGCTCTCCCTTGTCAACTTTCTAAAACACTGTTAGAATTCTGTAAACTTACATCAACTACCGTCAGTAGCTGCCACCACCATCTTCAGCAAACCACCATCACAAGATTATCACGATACATTACGTTTCACCATAGCCCTTTCAACTGTAACCACCACCACATCATCATCACAGTGGTTGACAGCAACGCAATGTCACCATTGCAGGCTGCTACTGATTCCCACCCACTGAAATGCCGTCTACAGGTCCCAAACCATTCTCAACTGAATTTTTATAGTACCATTTTGGATAACTCCCAATCATTTGTTTAGTTAAGCTAGTAATACCCAAGTAAAAGCACATGTAAATCAATAGATAGAAAGCTCATCACCATCTTAATAATGCTCAAGTTGAATTCATGAATAAGTTATGAAAATCTCCAGATCCAACTAAAAAAGGGGTCTATAGTGCTTCAATGGTTAGACAAGCACAGAATAATTATAGAATAAGAGCATTGCCTGTACGAAATTCAAATATGTCCTCTTCCCTGTAGCAAAATCCTCCCCGAGCCGTGTAACAAAACCTGATTGGAAGACACAAAGCAGAAACATGATATCAAAACTATTAGAAGTGAAAAGATAAAAATGTATATATGGTTTAACAAGCAAAGGAAACAAGCACAAGCACAACCTTTAGAGAAAGAAAAAAAAAATGTACATCGGTGACCTTACCCGCTATATACCAGATGCATGTGTATCTTGGCAAGGGCATAGGCTGCTGTGGGAAGGATAGTTTCAACTTCTTCATCACTGACCTAAATGCAGATAGATGCAGATTATAAAAAATGTGAACTCAAGTTTAAACACACACATATATCCCTATTTACATTTAAATAGAAGAAGGATGATGAGTGGATCTCCTTCTCACAATAAGCAGCAAAATGTTAATCGTATTTTTAAAAAACAATCTCTCAAGTCGCAACCATAAAGAAAGAATCTCTGAGGGAGAAGCAGCAAAACAAGGAAGGCATCCTACAATGGAAAATCACGGCATAAAAATGCAAACAATAGCTTACATGTAAAGTTGCATTTGCTCTTAAAATCTTCCTTCAAATACATACTATACACCATTGCCCTGTTATGAGGGTCGTACTGTCCTTTCCATCGGTTTATTAGTTTAGGGCTTCTTGTATTTTTTGTATGTATTGTATTCTTCTTCAACAATTTTGAATAACATACGGCTGGATTGCTTCCCTCTTCTTCTCCATGCAAACTTCACATGGTATCACAGCCATTCAATTATAGCATTGCAAAGACAGTCATTGTTCTTCTCATCATTGCAATCGCAAACATGCCCCTCAATCGCAATTGAACAATTTCTGAAATTCCCCAAATGGAAGTTGCTTGATTTCTGCAAGCTTGTGTGTTTGTTTATTTCTTTAAAGCAATTGCCAGAGCACTTAGCGGGGGATTTGGAGGCTGCAATGTGTGTGTGAGAGAGAGAGAGGGGGGGGGGGGGGGGGGGGGAGAGGCAGTATCGACGAAAGAGATAGAGGCAGGGATGGCGGCGGTGGGGTGGGGAGAGGGAGAGGGAGAGAGAGGGGGGGCAGGCATTAGTGTCATGTGGTGGTGGTCGTAGGAACTCTTGATGGTGGAGAGAGATTGTGGTAGTGGCAGTGTTATCAAAGGCCTAAGGCGCTAGAGGTCCGTTGGAGCCTAGGCGCAAGGCGAAGCACGCGCCTGAGTAAAGAGAGGTGCACAACTAAAAATTTAAATTACTATTAAAGCATATTCATATTCCATATTAAAGGCACAACTGTTGTGAAAGGCACACCTGGGCACACAACAGGGCACAAGCGCAAGCCTGTATGAGCCTAGAGCCTAGGCACACCTTTGACAACAGTGAGAAAAAAAGAGTTGGGGCAGCGGCTTTGACTTCTTTATCTACATGTGTGGATTAGTAATATGTAATATAAATATGTTAAATGAATATTTAATTTCCAAGTTTTAATTTACACAAGAAGAAAAAACTTACAGCTGACCATCCGTCAATATTTGTGCTCTTCAAAATCTGAACAGGCCTGCAAAAGCAAAACTATACATTAAGTATACTTTTAGAAAAGGGAAAAACATTTAATAGTTGACAAGAGATGTTGTGTAATGCAATCTCACTTACGTATCAACTGGGCAGAGTAGCAAACACTCATCCCCTCGTGAACTTCTAAACACTCTCCTAATTATGCAGTCCAATGGGAAATTATTGGTAGAATCAACCTGTCCAAGATTTCATTATAATTTATAAAATCAAGGCCATGCAAGGACCAAGATAGAATAATACCCAAAAAGATGTATCACAAAACTGCAGTTGATAAGCATTTTAACATATTCTTGTAAAGGGAATATTTGTCATAATCCATAGTGGTCATTATCTTCCAACAAACCAAATAAACAATGTTGGTGTATCAATACTATTGTGAAAACATCTCCCTAGTATATCCCTTTGGGCTACCTTAACTCTGTTTACTTTATTTCTATATTTTCTTACAGTAAAGATTGGTAGATCACAATGTTGATAACAACTAAAGCTAGATATAATGGGCCATAGGTCAAGAGAGAATTTTATTCATACAATTATATTAAGGAAAGGGCTGATTAGGAATGTGAGTGTTTACAATTTGATTTAAGAAAGGGTAAACTACCATTGGGCCATTGGCCTGGGTGGTATGAGCTCTCATAGGTTGAGAGAGAATTTCATTCATACAATTTGATTGAGGAAAGGGATAATTAGGAATGTGAGTGTCAATAATTTGATTAAAGAAAGGGTAAACTACCACTAGGGTAATGGCTCAGGTGGTAAGAGCTCTGCTCCCCAAAGGGGAGGTGAGTGCTTCAAGCCCTACGCAGGGCAATGTGGTGTGTGAATGTGTTGCTTAGCAAACCCAAAAAAATGGTAAATTACACTGATGTCCACTGAGGGCAAATTACACTATCACCAATTGGTATTGCATGTGTAAGAGGGGTGAGGAGTCGGTTAATCATCTTCTATTGCTTTACGCAGTGGCTTGGGAGAGCTTGTCTATGATCTTTACGTTGTTTGGTGTCTTATGGGTTATGCCAGAGTCCCCAAAGAGCATGCTTGAGGCTTAAAGAGGATGTATAGTGCAGAGGCATGCTCATGATGCTTAGAGGGTGGCACCCCTTTGTTTGTGGTGGGGTTTGTGGAGAGAGCGGAACAGGCAATCCTTTGATAAAGAGGAGGTTCTGATTTGGCTGCTTAAGTTCTCTATTGTGAGTTCTTTATTTTTTTGGATACAGGGATCAATTTGTAAATCGGTAAGGGATACAGTGGATTTTTTGGATATCTTATCTACATAACATACTTTGATGGTGTAGTTCTTTGGGATGCTCCCCTCTTGAGGGTTCTTTTAATGAAATTTTACTTACCAATAAAAAATAAAAAAAGTGGTCAAGCTTATGGCTATTCGTTTGAAGGGAAGAGAATAAGCCTAAGGTTGCGGAATGAAAAGAGATGAAAAAGTTAAAGAAACATTTTTTACATTTTAATTATGTTCAAACAATGTACCAAAGTTTGCAGAATTTAAGGCAAGGAGGCAGCAGTGTGGTAGATTACACTGAGGAATTTTATGAAGTAATCTTGGAGGTCGAGCCAAAATTTGACGACTTCCCCTAGGGGGAGGATAATGGCATCATATCCATGCAGAAAATTTCCTACAATTTTGGAAACACCCAAAAGAGAGAGAAAGTGGGGAAAGGGCAAGAGATACAGATTTTCTAACATTTTTTAAATTCTCCCTTTTCCTTTGAAATTATAGCTGGTAATAAATCCATCTATGGCTGGGATTGAGTAGGAAACACAATATAATTTGGCATTGCAAGGATTTGTGGGATTATTATTGTTCTAGTTTTTTTACCTATCAAAAAAAAAATTTATTGCTCTAGTTTTCAGATTAAGTTGTAGAAATAGATTAAGATAATTTCTTCATCTTGAATTCTTTGTAAGGCAGAGGCAGCATTACTTGTGGACATGAAATTCAAACCAAAAGGTACCCGTACCAGACAATATATACAATCATGTATATGCATAATCATGTATATGCATAAAGATATACATATAGATGATGTTTATATACTATGGAAGTTGCAAGAAGAGACTTACAATTGTAGCAATTCTCTTTTTTGAAACCATGAGAACCTGTCCGTGTTCATCCACTACAAACCCAGCCGGAGGTTTGGGTAGCGGGAGAGGATGGTATGACTGCGACTTGGACTTGGACTTGGACTTAGACGACGAGGCATCGACACTATCATCATCTTCATTTTCAACATCATCTAAACTCAACCCCTTCAAAGCATCATTACCAGCACTACCCCTCTTTTTCCTGGGTGGCCTCTTCTTGACTGAGCTGCTCTGTTGCTTGGCGGCATGGCAACAAGGGAATCGAAGAGTTCTAGGGTTACGATTGTAGAGCGAGACTGAGACTACGAGTGAAGGACGAGATTGCACCTTAAATCGTGGCTTTAGAAGTGAAGCAAGAATGGTGAGGTTTGAAGAGGTTGATATGGGGGTGGTGGAGAAAGAGAGAGCCATGACTTGAAGGAAGAGCTGTATGCTGCTATAGTATGCTGCTGTGCTCTGCTAAGCTGTGTTACGCTGAGAGAGAGAGAGCAAAGTGCCTTTCGCCAAATGACGATACCCAAAATGATACAAGGCAGAAGTTTGAAAAAAATCCCTATACTATAAAAAAAAGTTGCATAAAACCCACTGAACTAATTTTGTTCTCAAGTCAGTCCTCCACCTTTCCAAAATGAAGCAAATACCCTCTGGAGCCAAGCGGAGTGCACTTTCCGTAAATTTGTGATACACCCTGCAATATTATTTTAATGCCAAAATGCCCCCTCATGTGCTATAAAATGTATTGTTTGCCTCACAAACCCATTTGCAAGCAAAATGCGGCAGCCCCTCTTTCTCGTCTCCCATCCAACAGTAATCAGGCAATTCCCAAACCCATTTGCATCAAAAGTTTCAGATTTTATCCCAATTTGCATCTATAAGTTTCACTTTTTAGTACAAATATGCGCGCGCGCGCGCATCTATATGTTCACATAAGTAGTATTTTTATTAACAGATTTGAAATTTTTTTTTTTTTTAAGCAGCATATATGGATGCATCTATGACTTCAAGAAACCCGAATCACTTATTATATCAGGGTAGAATTAAGGGCGGCTTAATATAATTTGAGACCTTAGGCAAAATATATAAAAGTGGCTTTCTAATATCTAATATATATATATATATATATATATATATATATATATAGTCAATCCAATTAGAAAAATGAGGAAAAAAAAAAAAACAAAGAAAAAAAAAAAGTTAAAATATGAATATGGAAAGTTTTACAAATTTCGGAATATGAAAAAAGAAACGTGAATGAGGAGCTAAGAGAGAGAGAGAGAAAAAAAAAAAAAAAAAAAAAGAAGATAGATAGATAGATATCTTTTGACCCCTATTAAATCTCTATTGGTCAAGGGTACAAATAAAAATTGTAAGGAGGTTATAATATAAGGAAATAAAAAATAAATAAATAAAATTGGGGCCTTTCTATTTGACAGAGTTTAATAATAAGAAGGAAATAACATTTTTTGAAATGTTATAATATAAACAAAAAAAAAAATTGAAAGTTATAATATAATTAAGGAAATACAAATTTTGGGGCCTTAATTTATATTGACCTGGAGTGATAATAGGAAGGAAATAAAAATTTTAGGAAGGATATATATGAAGAAATAAAAATAAATAAAAAATAATAATTTGAGGCCTTCTTATTGGCTGGGGCCTTAGGCAACAGCCTAAGTCGCCTAAGGGTCCAACCGCCCCTGGATAGATTATATAAAGATATCTATTTCTACTATGGACTAAAGTCTCCTTTGAGAAGAGCAACAACAGTAATTTAGGACGAATGTTCTATGGATGTGATAACTATTCGATAAAGTGTTGTGGGTTCCTGAGATAGATCGATCCCAAGCACAATGAAGTTCAAAGAAATTTTAATTAGAACCATATGGAACAAGATATGGCCACGGAGACCATATAATCTCTAGGGTATAAGTGTTGGGCTGGGTTCCCTCTTAATGTGAGGATGGCTCAAGTGAAGCCCATGTGGGTTTGAAGCCCACACACACACACACACACACACACACACACACACACACACATATATATATATATGTAGTTTCTGTATTGAGGTTTAAAAAAATAAAAAGGCAACAGTGTAATGACCCGGTCATTTGACTCCCTTTCCTTTTTCCTGAAATTTTACGAATAAATTTTTTCCGTTTAATTCTCTTTTCTGAGATTTGTTTCTCGTCGTTTAGTGTCATCTCGAGTGCTCAGAATTGGCTTCTGAGATTCTTTCGTGTGGATTGACAACTTCCTTTGAGAACCGAGTCATTTCCGCATTTTCACTTTTCGGGACACTATTCACTTTTGTCCTTTTCCCTATTCTGTCTTTTCCCCGTTTGCCAGTTTTTGGCACAACCTCACTTTTCGTGCTCGGAGTTGGTTTTTGACTTCACGTGTCTTCATCTTCAGTGGTTTCCTCGAAATACGTATATTTACTTTTGCAAGAAAATATTCTGGTTGCTCTCGGTGTCCATAGGGGCATGGATGCACAATTCTTTGGCATTATTTTTCTTTTCTTGGGGTGTTTTTCGTAGAGTATCTAAGAAAATATCTTTTGGAAGATATTTTCATTCTGGGGCAGTTTCGCAGTTAACCCTTTTTGTAGGGGCCATTGTGCAATTAACGAAAGTTATTGCAAAATATATCATTTGAAGCCTGGATCCTCATATGGGATTCATTTTCACATTTCGTCGAGTCATGGACTCTTGGAATTTCTTTCTAGTCATTTTTTTTCAGCTTCAGAGTTTCTGGATCCGATTGCCGCCGAACTTGTTCGGAGCATAACTTTCTGCTCAGGACTTAGTTTTTGACGCCGTTTCTTCCGTTATTCATATTTTCTCATTTTGAATCTTTTTCATTCATGAAGTTTTGCTATTTGAGTACGTTTACTTAAATTCTACTTTTTCGGGCCCGGCGGGGCCCGTTCAGAGCACTTTTTGAGATTTCTTTAAAAGGGGGGTGAAATATTTTATTTTTCATCTTCCCCACTCTCCTTGCACGACTTGAAGCAGCCATGAATACCCATGGAGCTTCTGTAATGACCCGGTCATTTTCATTTCTTTCCCTTTCTTCAAATTTTGCGGATAAATTTTTTTCATTGTCTTTTCCTTTTCGGGTTCGATTTCCCGCCTCTTAGTGTCGTCTCGAGTGCTCGAAAATGGTTTCTGAGACTCTTTCCTTTGGATTGACAACTTCCTTTGAGGACCGAGTCATTTCTACATTTTTTTGTTTTTTGACACTATTCATTTTTTCGTCTTTTCCTTATTTCGTCCTCTTCTCGTTTTTCACTTTTACTTATATAACCTCATTTTTTGTACTCGGATTTGATTCCGATTTTGCATGCATTCATGGTATTTAAATTCCATGACATCTACATTTTTACTTTTGTAGAAATGCATATTAAATACTTACTTTCTTTGTAAAAGTCATGAAAACAAAGACTTTTTGTAATTATCCATAACTTGAGAGGTTTTTGGGTAATTAAGTAAAGTAATTATTTTTCGTCTTAAAGACCATTTTACAATTTAATTTGGAAGATATTTTCAAAAAAGACTTGTTTGCAATTTCCGGAAAGTGTGACAAGTGTCACACTCTCATTGGTTCACTTGTTGACATTTGTGTGGAAACACTTTGATGCCTTGGATGATGACATATGGAGGGTGGAGATTCACCCACTTGTTGGCCTAGGATTGGTACACTTGTTGGCATGGATGGTTGACAAATGTATGTTCAATATTAAGTCTTGGAAGTTTACATAGGATGGTGACAAGTGTAGGCTTGAGATTAAGCCTAAGAATGAACCATAGATTCATGACAAGTGTAGGTTCACCATTTAGTCTTGCATTATGTGTGTGAGAGAGGTAGTGTAAGAGCACATAGTGAGTGGAGGATTTCTAGCCCTTCCACTCACCATTTTATACTTTATCATTTTCATTTTCACTTGTCTTCAAGAACCATAACCTAGCCACCATTGGAGAAAAACTTGGTTCATAGCTTTCTTCTTCATTTTGGCCTCCTTCCACTCACCTTAGACATAAAACTTTGGAAGACAAAAGCTTCCTCTCACTCCCCTCTTCATTAACCCTAAACTTGTTTTCCATTTTGAGTTTGGTTGCTTGGATTATAGAGATTCAATTCTCTATTGAGGTAGGGAGTGTTATCATTTATCTTCCAAGTGATTTTAATTGTTCCTATAGTGATATCTAAGTTATATGTTTGTCTTGTATTAAAATGAGAAATAAATGATTAATTGTAACTTGTATGTAATTCACTTTAAACTTGATAAATAACATGACCATGGCTTGATTCATAACTTATGTTAATTTGAGATCATTTAGAGTTGTTTTAAAATCTAGTTAGATTAATGAATTAATTTAATTAATTTTTATTTATATGCTCCTATGACTTAAATCAAGTTTTGAAGTGATTTATATAATAACCATGACATGTATTACAACATATATTAAATTTGGGACATTTGGATAAAAATTGTAAAATTTATTTAATATTTATCTTTTGTGAAAGTTTAATTCACATGGTGATAGCAAGCATGAAATCATGATGTAATGTGATATTTGGATAGGTCTTGGCATGTTCTCTAACATAGATTAAATTGAGGATATTTGGAATTGTTTAAAAATCTAGAGGAAATTAATTAATTAGTTTGATTAATTTTGTTTTAAGTGTTTTAATCACTTAAATTGTCATTTAATATTATATATATGATAACCATGACATGTCCTTCAATATTTATTAAATTGAGGTTATTTGGGGTTAACTTGGAATTTAGAGAATTTAACTATTTATGTTTAATTAAATTCTATTTTATTATTCCATGGATTTAATTGCATTTTAGAAGTTATTTTTATATTTAAATCATGGATTTGGATTTGGTGTATGTTCATTTGATTACTTTTGACCATTGGATAACATAGTTGTTACTTTTATATTCATGAGAATATATTTTTCCTTATTGAATATATTGTTGCTATGCGTAAGGAATTGCACACTTTGTATTTGACATCTTTCATGCTATAGTAGTTGTAGACTTTGAGCATGTATTGTATAAGTTTCCAAAATTGGATTGTGCTTGGTAAATAGTTGATATCTTGTATGTACATGTTGATATATATATATACGTTGTTGCATAATTTGTTGATTTTGGGAACTTGGGGATGTCGTTGTTTGGCTACGGCTAGGACTTGGTTCTAGTACGGGGGATTGTCCCTCTATATAGTCTAGTGCGCACATAGGGAGGTTACCCATGGGCTAGTAACCCTAAAGTAACCACATTGTCGGTTTGATCTGGCATGACGTCCAAGTATCCACTTTGGTTTGATTTTGCATTTAAATTCCAAGTTGTTAACTTTGTAAAATTACATCTCATTGTGTTATGTTGAAAGTTCTATTGTCACTTGATAGCATGAATTAAATGGTATTGGATTGTAACTTGGTACAAAGATAAACCCATGCATTCCCTACGAGTAAATTTGTTTACTCACCCCTAAGTTAATGGGTGTTTTGCAGGTAAAGA